ACAATCATCGTAGAATAATCACTCATTGCGTTTCGTTTCTATAAACTCGCTTTGTGACTGACTGGCTGGTATTGTTTGGTGATGTTAGTTTTTGAATAATCCAAGTCTGACTCAGATACGATAACTTTTGCAGAAGTGTTTCATCAGTGGAGGGTATGCCACGTCCTGGAACGCTGCAGAGCGCAAGACGTATTTTTGAGCAGCAACGACACGGCTCAACGGGTGTTATGCGCCGAGCACCGAACTACCTCGCACAGAAACTTGCATGGTTAGTGGGGCGCACTTACAGTCAGCAAAATTCATATGTAACGGTGCAAGTGAACGATTGTTCAGCACAAATATAGTTTGATATAATAACGCAGATGATTTTGGTTTATTGTTGAAAATTCTCACAATCAGTTGCGGATGTCTGAAAAAGTCTTTCAAAATTGATCAAAGCTGAATGGAATTGTGAGTGTGGAAATTAATCGATGTTCGTTTCAATACCAGTTTCATTGCATAAAAGAAGTTTCTTGCGGAAATTTTTTCTTCTGAAAAATTCTTTCGATCATTCGTTGTATCGCGCAGAAATTTCGTTTGCTTTTAGTGGTGATGTGGTAGGGCCGGATATGGGTGCTGAAGAGTGCCCTCATCCGTCGTTATCGCCGAATGATCCGTCCACTTCGTTGCCCGACTTCGACTCCAAGTCGTCCGCATCTAAACGTGAGATTGCTTGCTTGCTTTTCTTTTCGAATGTTTTTGTTTTTGTTTTAATCAATTGATTTTATTAAATAGTTTATTTCTCCTAACAGCATATGAGCGAAAGAAGATAGTAAGTTTTATTGTTGTTGACGACAAGCAAAAAACTGGTTTCTAAATTGAGATTGTTGATATTGATATTTTCACCAAAATTTTTTGGGAAGTTATTTGATAAATTCTAGAATGTAAGTCGTGAATGTTGAATGTTTGATGAACATACAAGCCTGAATAAGTATTCGTTTGTGTGGGTCATTACTGGAATCGAAATGTGTACAATCTTGAGCAGTCATGCAATTATAAGTAAAAAGAAGGGGTAATGTACAAGCAAGCAGCTAGATGACGTGAGAGTGTGATGCATACAAGCAAATAAACTTAATCATATTGCAATTGCCATTCTCAAAATCATGACATGACGATCGTTGAGAGAGATTGCAATGTTCATTGAATCTTTGGGTGCTGAATGATGGTTTTATTCGATTTTCATTTGATTTCGGTCGGTTGGTTATTCATTTGCTATTCACTTGATGCGAAGATGGGATGGGATGGGATGGGATGTGTTCTTTTGACGAGCATTGCAATGAAAAGAATTCATTGATGCCACAAATGAAGATGGTGATGGTGATAAGGAAATGAACGAACGATGGGAAATGGGAATTGAATTGCGTTTGGAGAATTGCATGAATAAATAAGTACAAATTTATATGCAAACTATGAAGAAATATCAATGTGGGTGCATGAATTTTGTTTAGAAGTGGTTTCGTAATATTTAGATATAAATATTATTGCCGAAATAAATACAAGTTGGTTGATGTGAGGGAATTTTTAACTGTATTAAGTGGAATATAACAAAGGTATTATTTATTTGAATAAATCAGTGTGTTATAAGAATAACCATTGCAAAAGACGAGCGAGCGATTCTTAGTGCTTTGCGTTATCATGGCGGATACGTCGTGCCTGTATCAGTTAGAGGGGTTTGAGTTGAGAAGAATGATTAGGTCAGATGATGATAGATAGGTTGAAGGATAGAAAGTGATGAGTTGGTGACTTTCGTTATATCGGAATTGTAATGTAAGTGTTGAT